ACACAATGAACACACACAATGAACACACACTGAACACACACACTGAACACACACTGAACACACACTGAACACACACTGAACACACACACTGAACACACACTGAACACACACACTGAACACACACTGAACACACACACTGAACACACACTGAACACACACACTGAACACACACTGAACACACACTGAACACACACACTGAACACACACTGAACACACACACTGAACACACACTGAACACACACACTGAACACACACACTGAACACACACTGAACACACACTGAATACACACTGAACACACACACTGAACACACACTGAACACACTGAACACACACTGAACACACACTGAACACACACACTGAACACACACACTGAACACACACTGAACACACACACTGAACACACACTGAACACACACTGAACACACACACTGAACACACACACTGAACACACACTGAACACACACACTGAACACACACTGAACACACACACTGAACACACACACTGAACACACACTGAACACACACTGAATACACACTGAACACACACACTGAACACACACTGAACACACACACTGAACACACACTGAACACACACTGAATACACACTGAACACACACACTGAACACACACACTGAACACACACTGAACACACACTGAACACACACACTGAACACACACAATGAACACACACTGAACACACACACTGAACACACACTGAACACACACTGAACACACACACTGAACACACACTGAACACACACACTGAACACACACACTGAACACACACTGAACACACACTGAACACACAGTGGACACACACTGAACACACACTGAACACACACAATGAACACACACACTGAACACACACTGAACACACACAATGAACACACACAATGAACACACTGAACACACACAATGAACACACACAATGAACACACACTGAACACACACACTGAACACACACACTGAACACACACACTGAACACACACTGAACACACACACTGAACACACACAATGAACACACACTGAACACACACTGAACACACACACTGAACACACACTGAACACACACACTGAACACACACTGAACACACACTGAACACACACACTGAACACACACTGAACACACACACTGAACACACACACTGAACACACACACTGAACACACACACTGAACACACACTGAACACACACACTGAACACACACTGAACACACACACTGAACACACACTGAACACACACACTGAACACACACTGAACACACACACTGAACACACACTGAACACACACACTGAACACACACACTGACACACACTGAACACACACACTGAACACACACTGAACACACACTGAACACACACACTGAACACACACTGAACACACACTGGACACACACTGAACACACACACTGAACACACACACTGAACACACACTGAACACACACACTGAACACACACTGAACACACACTGAACACACACTGAACACACACACTGAACACACACACTGAACACACACTGAACACACACTGAACACACACACTGAACACACACTGAACACACACTGAACACACACTGAACACACACACTGAACACAAACTGAACACACACTGAACACACTGAACACACACTGAACACACACTGAACACACACTGAACACACACTGAACACACACACTGAACACACACTGAACACACACACTGAACACACACACTGAACACACACTGAACACACTGGACACACACTGAACACACACACTGAACACACACTGAACACACTGAACACACACACTGAACACACACTGAACACACACTGAACACACACTGAACACACACTGAACACACACACTGAACACACACTGAACACACACACTGAACACACACACTGAACACACACTGAACACACACTGAACACACTGAACACACACACTGAACACAAACTGAACACACACTGAACACACACTGAACACACACACTGAACACACACACTGAACACACACTGAACACACACTGAACACACACACTGAACACACACTGAACACACACTGAACACACACACTGAACACACACACTGAATACACACTGAACACACACACTGAACACACACTGAACACACACTGGACACACACTGGACACACACTGAACACACACACTGAACACACACTGAACACACACACTGAACACACACTGAACACACACTGAACACACACTGAACACACACACTGAACACACACACTGAACACACACTGAACACACACACTGAACACACACACTGAACACACACTGAACACACACTGAACACACACTGAACACAAACTGAACACACACTGAACACACACACTGAACACACACTGAACACACACTGAACACAAACTGAACACACACTGAACACACACTGAACACACACTGAACACACTGAACACAAACTGAACACACACTGAACACACACACTGAACACACACTGAACACACACACTGAACACACACTGAACACACACTGAACACACACTGAACACACACTGAACACACACTGAACACACACTGAACACACACACTGAACACACTGAACACACACTGAACACACACTGAACACACACACTGAACACACACTGAACACACACTGAACACACACACTAACCACACACACTGAACACACACACTGAACACACACTAACCACACACACTGAACACACACACTGAACACACACACTGAACACACACTGAACACACACACTGAACACACACACTAACCACACACACTGAACACACACTGAACACACACACTGAACACACACACTAACCACACACACTGAACACACACACTAACCACACACACTGAACACACACTGAACACACACACTGGAGACACACAGGTGTCAGCAGGGGGCGGGGCTTACCTTCAGCCACACTTCCGTCTTTCATCATGGTGCTGGCTCCATAGGTGAAATCTGGACCCGGAATGTTGAGGCCCCTGGACCGGGCCCTCCCCAGCGGAGCCTGCACACAGAACGCAGCGCTCCTTACCACCACAGTTGAATGAACTTTGACCTTTTTATCATACAGAGTGAGTGGTTCTGCTCAGCCAGCTGGTTCTGGGGTCAGCCGGACAGCGGGCCGAGGGGAACTGGGTCCGGTTAGAACGGAACCATTCTCTGGTTTCATGCTGTAGAAAGGTCGGCTGGCACAGAGCGACCCCATCAGTCTGCCCAGCGGTGCCTCCGGCTCACAGGCTTCTGGGTTTTCTGCCTTCTCATGGCCGCTCTCAGAGACGGTTCTGGTTCTGGGAGTTCTCTCGGGACATGAAACCCGGCGGGTCCACCCGTCAGGTAGATGGACTGAGACCACCAGTCCAGTTCTGATGATACCTTAGTCAGCACTGCAGAATCAGAACTGGGTTCAACTGGAGATGTTCTGACCCGGTTGGGCGACCCGTTTGTTCCTGGTTCCTTTAGTTCAGGTCCAACATTGAAGACCTGGTAAGCCCCGCCCACTGACAGCTTGGAATCCCTCAGGTGGTCATAATGTACTGCCTGATCCCTACCTTGATCAGCAGCGGGTCCCGCAGCATCGACTCTCTGAAGACGCCCAGCCGCGGTGATGCAATCATACCTGTGACGTCAGAGCCGGAAGCAGATTGCAGTGAAACACTATTATTATTAATATTCATGATGATGATGATACGCAAAGGAGCCCCACGCCGGTTCTAGAGGTTCGGTCCAGAGAGGACCGAACCGAACCGAACCCTGTCTGCAGGTAGAAACTGCTGAAACAGCCGGAAGCTCACTGTAGTTATGATTATTATTATTATTATTGTTGTTGGGTGAAAACATCAGAAGAGACTTTGGGAATGAAACGATGCTGCAAAGGGAAAAGCTGCTGCGGTTTCTGCACATAAACCTGCTGAGATCCGGGCCTCATAAACGCACATTTGCGTTTATGAATATAAACTGCAGCTAGAATCAATAATGGATGAGTTACATAGATGTGTTCTTGTGTAATTGACGACAATGAAGAAAGTGAAAAACTGCTGAGGATCAGACAATAAAACTCACTTGAGTTCATCTGAGCTTCGTCCCTGCGACTGCCGTCGTTAGTTGGATGGTTGTCATGGTAACGCCACGCCGAACGTGTTTTTAAAAAATCTTCATTTCAGATTCAAAAAATATCCAAAAAATATCTGATAAACACACAGTGCACAAAAAGCTGCAATTCAACAAGATAAACGCAGCAGAAAATAAAGAAACTTTCAAAACCGACTGAACTCGGTACCAGTGTGAATTTCAATTCTTAAATCATTACAGTGGAATAAAGTTGAAGCGCTTATTTAAATATAACTAATTCACTTTGAAAACATTTTTAACGTGGCGTCAGAAGAAAGCAGCTTCAGAACCGACTGGACCTGGAGCGACACCTGCGCGCTTCCCTCTTCCAGCCTCCAGGGGGCGGCAGCTCGCTCTGCCGCATTCAGAAACTCGGAAAAAACAACACTGATGAGATCAAATTAAGACCGCAGTGATGAAGCATCGTGTGTAGATTTGACCTTTAAGCTCAGAGGAAGAGAGAACCTCACTTCCTGGTGACTCTCCTTCCGCATTCAGCTCAATTTATTTATGTTTAAGTTCTGTCGCCACCAGAACCGCCCGAACCACCGAAAACTCCGACCCAGCAGGTTTCCGAACGAACAAGTTCCGAGTTCCGTGAACGCAACACACCTGATACATCAGCTTTACGTCACATGAAAAAGATCGTTTATTGAGACAAATGAACGATTTTAAGATGAAACTAGCAGAAAGCCCTCAAGAATCGCGAGATCTTGAGGTCTGATGTTCAATCAGAACTCAACCTGAGTTCGGGATTCTCGGATCAATTCATGAGTTGGGAGGAAGCCAAGCAGGAAGACCCCGCGCCGGGAATCGAACCCAGGATCTTCTTGATGCAAGGCAACGGTGACGCCAACTGAGCTACTGCACAGCTTGTAAATGAGATTCTACCTTACCGAGGTTCTAGACATAGCTATCACCGTGGCAACCAGAGGAGTTTAATCAGTCTAGCTTTTATTTAACTCAGATATTGATCAAAGATTTATCGCTTTATCGCTCTGCTGCAATTCGAGGCTGTTTCGTCTCCAGGAAACAGATCAGAGTGAGACCTCTGCCCCTCTCTGCAGCTTCAGAAGCGACGTTGCGCTCATGTCTCCCCAGCTTCTGCAACCGGTTCTGTTCAAAAACTTTCCGGATCCCTGAAAGCCCAACAGAGATGTTCCGGTTGTGGCTCCAGGCGGCGGGGCTCCTGTGGCTGTGCGGCGGCCCTGCGGGCGGCTCTGGACGGCTCTACTCGGAGGAAGACCCGCTGGTGATCCTGGGCAGCGGCAGCCTGAAGCCCACCGTCACCAACTCCTCCTCGGCCTGGCTGGTCCAGTTCTACTCCTCCTGGTGCGGACATTGCATCCAGTACTCCAGCACATGGAAGGCTCTGGCTCAGGACGTGAAAGGTACCGGTTCGGGGTCGGTCTGGTCTTCCGTTGGGAGCAGCTGCACCAGACTCCATTCAGAATTGCCTCATAAACTTCCCGTTAATCGTGGAAACAGCAGCAGGCGTTAAGTCGCGAACCGGTCCAGACCCGAACTGAGAAGCAGGTGCGGACCAGTTCGGCATCTTTTAATTTAAATTTAACGATAATTTCAAATAATATTCTGCGTTTGTCCAGCTGGCTTCAAACAGCGGCTGTTTGGTTTTTACTGGCGCACAGAGCTTAAAACTAAAGTTCTTCTGATAGGAACAGTTTTAGCTGATGCTAACCACGTGACCAGTGTTGGTTAACCCGCCGCTGGTGACGGTGACCAGCTGGGAGGAAAGTCAGCCTTAACTAGCTGTTAGCTAGCTCCGGTGAGCTAACAGGTGCTCAGAGTTTCTTGTGCGAAATTCTGCCCCCCTGTGTCGGGAGTGCGCACTGCAGCTAGAGAGGCGGTCCGTTCATTTCCTGATCGATTTCTGATCGATTCCTCGGTAAAATAACTCAGGTAATCATGTTGAGGTTGTAACATTAAGTTTTATCGGCAGCTGCTGTTTAAAAATGAAGCAATTACAAAATTGTTAAATAAATAAACAAGGGCAGAGGCCCCGCTGTGGGAACCGGAGGCCCCGCCGTGGGAACCGGAGGCCCCGCCGTGGGAACCGGAGGCCCCGCCGTGGGAACCGGAGGCCCCGCCGTGGGAACCGGGTCCTCACAACATTAGAAACACACACACACAGGTTAGACCTAGTGTCGGGGTCAGAGGTCAGCACAGAGACCAAGCCATCTGCTGAACAATGTGGTCTTCCTGGTTGTGTTTTCCTCTTTCTCTGATAGACACGCACTATACAAAGTTCAGGTGAAAGGAAGTGACGCGCCAGGGAACGTCCTGTTTGGGGCGGAGCTTAGAGGATGCGCTGATGGACCAGCGCTGCATTTTGGTCTGAATAAATTGGATTCATGAATTCAACTGGCTGACTCATCAACATTACAATCCTAAACAGAGAATGGATAAACTCCAACAGTGTGAAGAGGAACACAGAGGCTCTGGTTCTGGTCGGGAATTTAAACTCCATAACTTTCTGGTAGAATAAAGCAGAAGTGAAAAGGAGTGAAATAATATTTTACAGTAAGGCTCTCAGCCATAAATTATTCATGAGTCAAATAAAACTCAAAGCACAAATATCAAATAAAGTCAAGAAAAACATTAAACGTTGATTAAAGTCAAATGGAGGTTAATTAAAATAAATAATCCTAAGTTACTGAATTAAAACTTCCTGAGAGCCTGGCTAGCTGGTTAACGCTGCCTCTGATTGGCTAGCTGGTTAACGCTGCCTCTGATTGGCTAGCTGGTTAACGCTGCCTCTGATTGGCTAGCTGTTTAACGCTGCCTCTGATTGGCTAGCTGTTTAACGCTGCCTCTGATTGGCTAGCTGGTTAACGCTGCCTCTGATTGGCTAGCTGGTTAACGCTGCCTCTGATTGGCTAGCTGGTTAACGCTGCCTCTGATTGGCTAGCTGTTTAACGCTGCCTCTGATTGGCTAGCTGGTTAACGCTGCCTCTGATTGGCTAGCTGGTTAATGCTCGCTCTGCCAATCACATGAGATACATGTGATCGGCTTTGGTGATCGACAACAAGAGACCGTGATCGCCAATCACTGATTGGACACTTTTCGACACAAATCGGCTGATTATGAGTGGTGTCCGATTGATCAGCACACCTCTAAAGATATGATGTGTGAAATGATGAAGAGGAAATTCAGATCTGATATGTTAGTGTTGGGGTTTCTCATACCTGTCAAGTCTCCCGTTTTGGCCGAGAATCTACCGTTTTTACCCCCGTATCCCGCAGTACTCCCCTAAATATCCCGGTGTTATGCCAAGAAATGCATGCCTGCCGAGAATTGCATCCCCTGTCGCGGGAGCGCGCATCGCTCTAAACTCTCGCATATTGATGAGTAAACGGGCTGAAATCCGACCGAAGAGGAAACTTTTAAAGATATTAGTAACATTATCACGTTTATTAATCATGTAAGCGCTAAAATTGTGGGTTTTATTTCGCAAATTAATTGAAATAAACACTGATTTTTTTTACGTTTATTGAGCCATATTTGTCGAACGTTCTTCAGTGTCTGATGAACAAGTTCTCCGCAGCTGCTTTGAAATTCCAAGATTTTTCTTTTAACACCATAATAGCTTAAAACTTTACAAAACCGAGGCCCAATCCCAATTACGTAGAACATTTTATATCACGCTTAGCTGTCTAGTGTATTAATGTAGGGGAGATGCATTTTAATTTCTGAGCCTGCTAATATTTGCATCCCGTGTCTATTGTCCTGTTCATATGAAACTTATAGTGGTAACTCAGGGAACAAGTGTCATTATGTAGAAAAAATGTAATTTCCAAGTTAGCAGGGGATGCAATTTTTGGCAATATGGATTTCTAGCTTGCCAAAATTTGCATCCCCCCTGTTTTCATCAAATATGATCCAATTGAGTGAAACTCATACCAGCAGTTCTTACAACTACTCTGGTCATGTAGGACAAGTTATTTCACTCTTAACTCTTTATTTCTCAGAGTTAGCAGGGGTGCAACTTTTGGCAATATGGATTTCTAGCTTGCCAAAATTTGCATCCCCCCCTGTTTTCATGAAATATTTTCGAAATGATATTAAATTAATTCCAGTAGTTCATTGAACTACTCTGGTCATGTAGAAAAACATATTTCACTCTTAACTCATTATTTTTCAGAGTTTAGCAGGGTGCAATTTTTGGCAATATGGATTTTCAGCTTGCCAAAAATTGCATCCCCCCTGTTTTCATCAAATATGATCCAATTGAGATGAAACTCATACCAGCAGTTCTTAGAGCTACTCTGGTGATGTAGAAAAAGTTATTTCACTCTCAACTCTGTGTTTCTCCAAGTTAACAGGGGGATGCATTTTCAGGCAATGTGGAATTTCAGGTTGCCAAAATCTGCATCCCCGCTATTGTCATCAAATATTATTGAATGCATCTGAGAATGTGCTCAAAATGAAAATTGTCAGAAAATGCATGTCCTGCAATTTGGAGAATTAGGATAGTAATGTGTTATATGAAATGTTCTAGACAATGACACGTATGCTCTGAGCTACTAGAGTGACTTTCAAATCTGTATGACACTTTTGAGCTGAAAAAAAGGGCATGCAAATATCGGCAGCTCATAATTTGCTGCCAAAAAATGCATCCCCCCAAGCTTAAAAAAACAAAAGTTATGAGTGAAATAGCTTTTTCTATATAATCACATTTGTTCCCTCAATTGCTGGTATGAGTTTCATATCAATAGATAACATTTGAGGAAAAAGGAGAGGGAAAGCATATTTTGGCAGGTTGATAATAGGCTGTGCCATAAAACGCATCCCCCTGCTAACGTGTACAAATAAAAAATTAAGAGTGGAATAACATCTTCTGCATAAGAAGAATAGTTGTATGAGCTTCTGCTATGAGTTCCATGTTATTAGCATAACATTTGAGAAAAATAGAGAGGACATGCAAATTTTGGCAGGAGCAAAATCCATATTGCCGGAAAATGCATCCCCCTGCTAACTTGGAGAAACACAGAGTTGAGAGTGAAATAACTTTTTCTACATCACCAGAGTAGCTCTAAGAACTGCTGGTATGAGTTTCATCTCAATTGGATCATATTTGATGAAAGTAGAGGGGATGCAATTTTTGGCAACCTGAAAATTCCACATTGCCGGAAAATGCATCCCCCTGCTAACTTGGAGAAACACAGAGTTGAGAGTGAAATAACTTTTTCTACATCACCAGAGTAGCTCTAAGAACTGCTGGTATGAGTTTCATCTCAATTGGATCATATTTGATGAAAACAGGGGGGATGCAATTTTTGGCAACCTGAAAATTCATATTGCCAAAAATTGCATCCCCTGCTAACTCTGAAAAATAAAGAGTTAAGAGTGAAATAACTTGTCCTACATGACCAGAGTAGTTCTTTGAACTACTGGTATTAGTTTAATATCATTCTGAAAATATTTGATGAAAATAGAGGGGATGCAATTTTTGGCAACCTGAAAATTCATATTGCCAAAAATTGCATCCCCTGCTAACTCTGAAAAATAAAGAGTTAAGAGTGAAATAACTTGTCCTACATGACCAGAGTAGTTGTAAGAACTGCTGGTATGAGTTTCATCTCAATTGGATCATATTTGATGAAAACAGGGGGGATGCAATTTTTGGCAAGCTAAAAATCCATATTGCCAAAAATTGCATCCCCTGCTAACTTGGAAATTACATTTTTTCTACATAATGACACTTGTTCCCTGAGTTACCACTATAAGTTTCATATGAACAGGACAATAGACAGGGGATGCAAATATTAGCAGGCTCAGAAATTAAAATGCATCTCCCCTACATTAATACACTAGACAGCTAAGCGTAATATAAAATGTTCTACGTAATTGGGATTGGGCCTCGGTTTTGTAAAGCTTTAAGCTATTATGGTGTTAAAAGAAAAATCTTGGAATTTCAAAGCAGCTGCGGAGAACTTGTTCATCAGACACTGAAGAACGTTCGACAAATATGGCTCAATAAACGTGAAAAAATCAGTGTTTATTTCAATTAATTTGCGAAATAAAACCCACAATTTTAGCGCTTACATGATTAATAAACGTTATAATGTTACCAATATTTTAAAAGTTTCCTCTTCGGTCGGATTTCAGCCCGTTTACTCATCAATATGCGAGAGTTTAGAGCGATGCGCGCTCCCGCGACAGGGGATGCAATTCTCGGCAGGCATGCATTTCTCGGCATAACACCGGATTGTGTCGTCGCATTCGCGTTGGTTGTTCTCCCAGGTCTTAAGGTGTGATATACCATATCTTCCTTCTGATTGGTTCTGATGGTTCTGATTCTGTCTGTCAGATTGGCATGAGGCCATCGCTGTGGCTGTGTTGGACTGCGCTCAGGAGGAAAACTTTGAAGTCTGCAAAGAGTTCAGCATCAAGTTCTACCCAACATTCAAGGTAGGAGTCTAGAACTACCTGTTGCCCCCTGCTGGCCATATCCTGTAACTCCCTGTTGTGTTTTTTCTGCAGTTTTTCGCAGCTCACAGTTCAGCGGCGGACAAAGGGACGATCTACAGAGGTGAGACTCATTCAGGCCTTTAATCCTTTATGAATCTGTTTGGACCCGTTTGGACACCATTATCATAACTAATAAAGTGAACTAGTTGCTGTTTAACCTGTTAAATCTAAAACGGTAAATAAAGATTTCTGATGGTTGATCACACGAGCAGGAAGAAGAGCCGTTTGGAACGCTTTAGCGTCCAGCTTCACCTTAGTTTAGCTAGCGTTTAGCGTTCTAGAAAATTGGAATTGATTTCAGGATCATCATCACTGAGCGGCAGGAAGGGAAACACAAGCAGAGAAGCTCAACGGATCCAAGTCTGACAGTCGAATCCATGCTGGCAGATCCCGGGCCGGATCCAGTGGAGGATCACAGTTGGACTTTCTTTCATCCGTATTTCATTGTCATCCAATCCCAGATTTTCTCCCAGGATGATTTTGCTCAGAGTGATGATGGTTCTGACCCGGTTAAACATACAGAACCTTCTGGGTTTAACCGGTTTGGTTCCATCTCCCTCTGTCGGAGAACTTCCTGGTTTCTGTCCAATCAGAGCAGGGAGACGCATACATTCCAGTGGCTTTGGTTCTGATTAGCTAAAAAAAATGTTCTGTTGAACCTGTCCAATTGGGTCAGTGGTTCTGTGGGCTCTTCCCACTCCCCAGTAAAGGAGGGAATCACCATGGAAACCACTTTGTTTCTGAAGTCCGGTTGGTCGGGTTCTTGTTGTCAGAACCGGTTCTGTGTTCCTCCAGGAGCGGACCGGGAGGTCCGGTCCGTCCGGCAGCTGATGGTCAACATCCTGCAGAACCACAGCAGAACGGACCGGCCCCAGAGCTGCCCCCTGCTGGAGCCCTACAGGTACCAGAACCAGAACTGGACCAGAACCAGAACTGGACCTGGACCTCTGGCCCGCTTCACTGCTAACCTCTCTCTGTGTCCAGCGCTGCTCAGCTGCTGCCCCTGCTGGGTCAAAGGTCGGATCACTACACGGCCATCGTCGTTGAGGAGGCGGGGTCGTTCGTTGGCCGGGAGGTGAGGAAGAGGAGGAGGAAGATCTGACCTGTTTCCTGGTTCAACAGACGGGCAGGAAGCAGGTTCTTGTGGTTCCTCCTGACCTCTGAACTCTGACCTCATCCTGGGTTCAGGTGATCCTGGACCTGCTACAGTTCTCAGGCATTGAAGTGAGGAGAGCTCTGACCTCTGACCTCCCCCTGCTGGAAGTCCTGAACATGGCTGCCTTCCCCTCTGTCTACCTGCTGCACCCCAACGGCTCGCACGCCCCTCTGCACAGGTGAGTGAGGGAGGCTGAAATGTGGGCTGACCTTTGACCTGCCATAGCTGCTCTAACCCAACAGTTAGGACAGACAGGAATGTGTCTAGAGCCAGCGTGACCTCCAGCGTGACCTGCAGCGTGACCTCCAGCTGAAGTTTCAATCCACTTCCTGTAAAGTTTTGAAAGTTCTTGAAGTCTGTGATGCTTTAGGTCATCGGGTCGTCCTGCCTTAGTGACGTGTCGATTAGCTGACACAGAGAAACGTTTACCTGACCCTCACCTCTTCCCCCTGCAGCGAGAAGCCGCTCCGGTTCTTCTTCTCCTCCCTGCTGCGGAGCCTCCCAGGCGTGCAGCGCCGCAGCAGTTCCGAGGCGGCCCAGATGGAGGCGCTGCAGGACGAACGGACATCAGAACCGTGGCGGGACTTTGACAAGTGAGGGTCCAGTCTGCGGTTCTGACCCGAAGGCCGGCCGGGACCGGCTGAACGCTGCTTCTCCCCGCAGGTCCCAGGTGTACACGGCCGACCTGGAGTCGGCGCTGCACTACCTGCTGCGGGTGGAGCTGGCTGCCCACGGTACGCTGGACGGGGCGGAGCTAAAGGTCTTCAAGGACTTTGTCACCCTGCTTGCCAAGGTAACAGCTGAAAGCAGACCCTCAATTAGAGGCCGACCTGCCGTGATTGGTGCGCCGTCTCCATGACAATGGACAGACCGTCTCCAGGTTGTGTGCTGTGCACCCTGATGCTAATTGCTAATAGCGCAGCTCATTTTTAGTGATATGTTTTTGCAAACAAGGTAGCGTACTTAGCTTCCCCTGAATGAATGTTTCCTGGTAAATTCTGAAGCGCTTGAATAAAATGTGAAGTTTTTATGAACACACCTCACTGACACAGGGATGGTATCAACATGATGCAAGTTAGTGTCTTAGCATTAGCTTCCACTGACCACCATGTTGGTAATGCTTTAGCACTGGTGGAACTGTCCATGATTAGAGCCTTAGCTTTCATGCAGCTAGCTTTTCTGCTATTGGTTCCCACCACTGATGCAAAGATAATAAATCAGAATCAATTTAATGGATCTGGTCCCGCTGGATCAGCAGAATCCTATATATGGACGGGTATTTGGTTGTCGACCCCTGCTGAACGTTTCCTCCTGTAGCTCTATCCAGTCGGAGGCTCCGTGGTGAAGCTTATGGAGACGCTCTCTGATTGGCTGCTCAGTCTGCCGCTGCAGCAGATCCCCTACCAGGCCGTCCTGGACCTGGTGGACAACAAGATGAAGGTGAATCTCTCACATGCACACACACACACACACACATTGTTTCCTTTTTCCCATAGTTATTCATTTGAGCTACAACATGGCTGTTGGCTAACCAGACGGGTCACAACATAAGGCTGGAGCAGCGCCATGAGGAATCCCATCAAGTCCCATTGAGCGCCGGGCCAGACTCCCGCCTAAAGTCCTGTGTTCTTATCGGGATGAATCACTAGGCTAATGCTAACCATGCTAACAGACTGCATCATTCTCCTTACCTGTACAGCTGACCAGTAGAGGGCAGCAGAAGGCCCTCACTTTCCACCAGGACCCAACATGTGGGTTGATCTGGTGCATCTGGGCATCATTATGCATAAGCACAAGAACTCAGGCAGAGAGGTGACTTTCTGTTTCCTGTGCAGATCTCTGGCGTGTTCCTGGGGGCGGAGCTTCGCTGGGTTGGTTGCCAGGGCAGCAGGCCGGGGCTGCGGGGCTACCCATGTTCTCTGTGGACGCTGTTCCACGTCCTAACAGTCCAGCACGATGCCGCACCCGCCGCGCTGGACGGCTCAGGTACGACATGCAGAGACCCCGAGACGGCAGCCCAGGTGTGTGTCCTCACTGTGTGTGAACACCACGCAGGTCTGGAGGGCGAGGCGGCGCCGGTGCTGCAGGTGATGCGCCGCTACATCCGGACGTTCTTCGGCTGTAAGGAGTGCGGGCGTCACTTTGAGCAGGCGGCGGCCGCCAGCATGGACCAGGTGACGAGCCGAGAGGACCAAGTACTGTGGCTGTGGAACCAGCACAACCGGGTCAACACCAGGCTGGCAGGTAGGCCAGGGAGGGGTCACGGAGCTGGAGGGGTCACGGAGCTGGAGGGGTCACGGAGCTGGAGGGGTCACTGAGCTGGAGGTCACGGAGCTGGAGGGGTCACGGAGCTGGAGGGTTCACGGAGCTGGAGGGGTCACGGAGCTGGAGGGGTCACTGAGCTGGAGGGGTCACGGAGCTGGAGGGGTCACGGAGCTGGAGGGGTCACTGAGCTGGAGGGGTCACGGAGCTGGAGGGGTCACGGAGCTGGAGGGGTCACGGAGCTGGAGGGGTCACGGAGCTGGAGGGGTCACGGAGCTGGAGGGGTCACTGAGCTGGAGGGGTCACGGAGCTGGAGGGGTCACGGAGCTGGAGGGGTCACGGAGCTGGAGGGGTCACGGAGCTGGAGGGGTCACGGAGCTGGTCCAGAAAGGCTCTGGAGTGATGGACTGAGATTATAATCTGGATTATCAGGGAAGCTGAGCAGCAGAATCTGATCTCTGCTTTTAGTTTCTGCTGCAGATGATGATCTAATCGTCATCATAGATTAGATTATAGATTATAGATTATCAGATCCACTGCTGGACAGGATGTTGGTCATTTCTGAAGGAAGGAAATCGGTTTAATCTGAGATTTAAATGACATCCTGGTTAAAATAACTCAGAGCTTCTTTACTTGATCAGATCAGTAATCCACTGATCAGGTTCTGGTCAGAGGTTCTGGTCCAGAAACAGTCGGGTTTCTGGCCTTTGTTGAATCAGGGAAACCAGTAAACATGTTGGACAGTGAGCCTTGAGGATCACTGCTGTAATGTACAGACATTTTAATGTCTGTAACCAACAGGCTGGATTAACCTGGATTGTAGATCAATCTGAGTATCATCAGCAGAACCTCAGTAAAGCGGATCGGGCCGAGCCCAGAACCTGGCTGGACTCCACCAGCAGCCCTGGACAGTTCTGATGGTTTTACCTGAGAGAGAATCCCATGACCTCCTTCCTGCTGATGGAACAGTTGAACAAAAAATAGATGCAGTTTTTGGAAGCGGCCATCTTGATTCTGGCTCCAGTCAGGGAAGGAAGCTTCTCAGTCAGCCATCTTGTTTGCTGGGTCCCAGGGTTTCATGTTGTTTCCATCTTTGTTCCTCCTTCATCTCACACTCCTCTTTCTTGTCTCCAGGGTCTCTAAGTGACGACCCGGTCTCCCCTAAAGTGCCGTGGCCAAGCCCCGCCCTCTGCCCCGCCTGCCACGAGGAGAGCAACGGCGTCCACGTCTGGAACCACGCCAACGTCCTCGCCTTCCTTCGCCGCCATTACAGCGCCTCCAACCTGAACCCCAGGTACTCCCTGATTCCCCCTCTCCTCTCTGCCGGGCCCGGTCCGGCTCAGACCAGCCGGCCTCAGGAGGAACGCCCGGCTGCTGGAGAGGAGAAGAAGGGCGAGGATCAGGCGGAGCCCCAACCCGACCAGCCGGGTCCGAGGCAGGGGGAGCAGGCGGTTCTGATCCGAGGAGAGGGCGGATTCTGGATTCTGGGACTGGGCTTCACCAGCGTGGACATGAGCCTCTGCGTGGTTCTGTACGGCAGCTCCTGCCTTTTCCTCATGCTGCTCTTCTTCTTCTTCAAAGTCCGGTCCAGGAGGTGGAAGCTGCGCCACGCCCGGCTCTATGTCTGACCCACAGCTGGTCCGAACTAGAACTCTGACTGGGTCAGAACCGCTGCTTCCTGTCCCTTGTTGACTTTCCTCAGCAGTTCTGAAAGGAAGCGTCTCAGGCAGAACAGATCTGTTGAACGGGTCAGCATTTTGTACCAGAACCGGGTCAGCTGGACCTGGTCACATCGGTGCTGGAAGATGCTCAACCTGTTTCTGTTTTCATTTATTTTACACTATGAAAAGTTTTGACCGTGAACCGGGTCGTGGACCAGACCAGACCTAGAACCGTGTTGTTGTTTTTTCCTGGACCAGCGACGTGATGAGAAAACAGTTTCTGAATCTGAACCGGACCAGAGTTTAAGTTGTCTTTGTGATAAATGTTAGGTCTGCTGATGAACAGAACTAGCCGGGTTCCAAACAACCCAGCTGCTTGTGTGGACGGGTCCCAGCAGGACGGGTCCCAGCGGGACTGGTGAAGACTGAGGAGTTGGAAGAGGTCGGTTTGTAGAACCAGAACTGGATTTAAGTGTGGTTTTGATCTCGTCCAGTTAAGACTGGTTCTTTGTCAGGGTCTGATCAGAGCAGGAAAAACAGAATAAGTGTGTCAGGTGAGGACGTTGCTTCGATCTGCTCTGTTCTGACGCCCTCTGGTGGTCAAACATGAAGGTCTCACAAACTGTTTATATTAATAGACTCCCGGTGAATGTTCAGCTGAGGTTTATTTCTGACCTGCTCTCCTCTAGGTGGCGTGTTTGAGTTGGGTCAGGTATTTCTGCAGTGTTTTACTCATTGATATTTCTCAGTGGCTCCCCCTGGTGTTTCCTGCTGTGAATCTGTTTCAATCAGATTGTGTTTTTCTGATTATTTGTAATCTTTGTTAATGTGTGAATAAATCTTGTTGCTGCAGCTCTAAGTCATGTTTAAATCTCAGAACAGAGTCGATGTAAAGTTGCCTCGGGTCAAAGTTCAACATTTATATTTATTTATTGTACTGAACTGTTTAACTGACAGAGCTTGGAGATAAAATGAGAAATGTGCAGTTTGACCAGACCTGAACCCCTTGTGGACCTTTACGTCGATCCATCATGGCTGCTGTTGGACTGAAATTCCTCTGGCTTCTTTTCCTTTTGCTGATCATCTGTCATAGACTAAATACTCCATGAAACATGCCTTATTACTGCTTAATAATGCATTCAGTTAAAATAGTTATTTTACATCTAAATACTAGAGGTTAGGGTTACTGATACTCTAATAATGCCATTGCCATTATTAGCGTGTACAAACTTTTGAACAAACTTTTATTTTAATGAGATCCAGAATTAAAATTTTTGTTAGTTGCATATATTTTCATACATTACATTTTTAACATAAGCACTCTTTTTTTCCACTCAGTTCCGAGCGGAACCTTTGTTCTCTTGTGTTTCTAGTAAGACCATTAATCTGACACATTTGCTAACAGCAACAATGAAGCAGCTTCTCCCAGTAAATTTCTGCTTCTAAACGATCCAATTGGAAAACATTATTGTGTTCAAGTTCTGCTGAAAGCAATTATGCTATCAGTGAAATTTTGCCAACCTAAAATAGCATCGTAATGTTAAACATGTAGCAGCTAACCTCAACATCCGCAATCCACATTTCTAAAGACGCTCGATGAATGATCAGAGAACCTCTGGAAAGATGAACGGATAGAAAAACGCTTTCATCTTTTCCTGAGGAACAGATTAAAAACTATGAACATCTCTGGTTATGGCTGTTTATTCAGTGATTTAGCAGCAAAGAGGGGCTTGGCATTGAAAATGTTGATTTTGTTGATAAAATGTGATAAATATTTTAATCCAATCCCACTTTGATTATAACATAATGAAGATATTTTTGCTTTTGGATGGGTTTATTTCTGAATGAAATACATTATTTCATCAGTTTGTTAGATATTGAGTTGATGATGTGTTTTCGAGACAATTTTTTTCTCTTTCTGTTCTGGATAAAGACGGCCATGTTGGATTCCTGTTAATCCATGTTTCCTTCTCTCCTTCCTCCCTCTGCCCTGTCTGCTTAATCTTCTGAATTTTCTCTTATCCTCTGAACTGATCAAGGATCTGGTCAGACTGTTCAAAGCAGAGCCCTCTGGCCCTGGTGGGGCCCATCCTGTCCCGATGGGGACCATGCAGCTGGAACCAGCCTCCCCCTGACTGGGTGAGAACCACAACCTCCTGACAGCGACCTGGACCTCAGTAACACTGCAGCCATCGGGCCTGAACCACAATCTGGTGGTGCAACAGATTATTCTGTTCTGTCATATCTGCACCATGTGACTCCCCCCAGAACCTCAACCGGTCCAGTTCTGTGTTCTGGACCAGCACATTCCAGCTGCAATTTAAGTGTCTTTCTGGGGACCGTTTGGGTCGATCTGGTGCTCTGTTCTGGTTCTGATCCAAAACATCCTCAATGTGAAACAATGTTGTCAGCAGGAAACTATAGAGCAACACACACCTACAGTAAGGTCCTCATTCAGCCTCTACCGTCCGTCTCTTTGATGCTACTGAGGCGTTTAGATGCAGAGCCTCAGACAGGATGTCTCATGTTAGAAACTGAGGTGTGTGTGTGTGTGTCAGTGTGTGTGGCTGGCACACAGGCGCAGTATGTACGCTATGTACTCAGCATGCCAACTCAGCCTCAGCACTGCAATGCAGCGCTGTGCATTTGGCCAAGTCATGGCACACTCACACACTGACACACACACACGCGTGCGGTGATCTCTGTGAGACGACATGTGTTGTGTGTGTGTGTGTGTGTGTGTGTGTGTGTGTGTGTGTGTGTGTGTGTGTGTGTGTGTGTGTGTGTGTGTGTGTGCTTCCGGTTGATTGTCAACCTTGCAGTGTTTGGTCTCTGCAGCGGTGAGCTGCGATGTCTCAGTCTCTGCAGGGCAGTTAGCCGCATTAGCTCCCTGCTTGTCCTCAGATGACTCCTCCTCCTCCTCCTCTTCCTCCTCGGCTGTCTGCTGTATCCCTGCCTCCCCCTCCTCTTGCTCCCCTCCTGTGACACACCAGACGATGCATTGACTGAGCGGAGGAGAAGAAGAAAACCTCTCCCAGCCTGCCAGCCGTCCTGCCTGCTGTATGGAGACTGAGACGAGGAAGAGGAGCAGAAGGAGGTGAGGAAGGAGCAGGCTGCTTGTCTCTGGGACGGATGAGTTGTCTTTTAACTCATCTGTCTCTTTGTCACCTGTCTCTGTGTTTACACTGCTGTCTGTCTCTACGTCCTCGTCTGTCTGCTGGACTACCAGAACTCTGCAGGACCAGGTGAGTCCAGCTTGGAAGTGCAGGGAGCCAGAGTGAGGTCTGCTCAGTCTGGACTGAAGTAAGGGAGGACCCCCCAGCCAACCGCGGACGTCCCTCTGGCATCCACAACTCTTTTCTGCTGGGGACATTGGTGTCCACCGCACGCGGTCGGTTGGTTGGTTGAGGTCCAACTTTCTGAGACAGAACTAGACAGAACTCCTGGAGCAGATTTAGATTTAAATCACTGTAAAGTTGGTATTTCAGAACTCATGACTAAAGTACATTCAGAACTATGTCTCCACCTGGGAGCGTCCAAATTCAGGGTCCCTCTGAACCAACCAATTCCTCCTCCTTCCTGATGTTCTCACAATGTCCAGCACTATTAGGTCCAGCTGGTTGGACATAATCTCTTCCTGGGTCTGGAAGTCCCAGAGGACCTTGGCGTTATCCAGGAGGTGTAGCTGTCGATCACCGGGTTGAGGGCTCCTATAGGCAGCACCTGGCACCCAGCCAGTAGGTGATGGGCTGTTTCAGGGTGTCTTTGCTTAGGAGCTTCTGGTTTCTGTCTCTTCTGGTAGAACCTGGCTTCTACCTGTCCTGCTGCTGGTATGGGTTAGGGTCCTTCAATCCAGACCAGCCTGGTTTCTAGTAGGACTTCTTGATATCAGCACCTCTGTGTCATGCAGATTGTTTCTTTGTTTCTCTAGTCCTTCTCTGTTCCTCCTGGTCCTTCTCCTGCACTTCCTACTGTACTCCATAATCTCAGGTGGTTGGACTCCCCTCCTTACTCTTGGCATACTGTCAGGATGTTGGACTGGAATGCTGCAGCTGTTGCATGGTGCTTTCGATTTTGATACCAGTGGCTTGTAGATACTGTGCCAGCAGGGTACCTGATGACTGGTAAGGTGTGGTACTGGGTGTGGAACTTGTTGCATCCCATCTCCTTGCTTTCCTCACCAGAGGCAGATTACCTTGTAGCCTCATCAAGGTTGGAGTTTCCTTGGGGATCCCAGTTCTTGTAGCTTTAAAGATCGACCAAGAAGGAACCTGCTACCCGACTCTCAATCACCTGCTTCCCACAGCAAGATTTTTAAATTGTTGCCAATTTTTAAAAATCTCAGAGACTTCCGGATACTTAGACATGTCGTATGTTTGGTCATAAATTGTAGAGCTTCACAGCAGGAACAAAACCAATTTCAGACGGGAGATTTCACAAATCCTGCGGAGACCAAATGTGAGTTCAGAGTAAGCAAATGTGGCTAATCAGAGAGAAGCAATTGCAATAATATGTCAACTATATTCAATAGAGAAAAAACAGAAAGACTTCTCCAATGTTCACTGAAGAGTTTCCCCCTAGGACTCTCTTCAGAACCATCGCAATAATTGTCCTTAAGATTACTGGAAGGGAAAGTTATGACAAAAATCAGCAAAAAGATCTCATGAACTAGACATTAGCAATCCTGACTTGGAGAAACATTGTGGAAGGATGAGTCCTTGGATGGACTCATCCAACAACAGATATAGGAAATGACTAATACCCAGTAAGAGGAAGAGAAGCATAGAAGAATAGGGCAGTAGAAGAAGAAAGAGGAACAGAGGATAGGTTCTGCCATACCAGAGGCTCCAGAGCAAAGACGCCCCTTGAAAAAGTCTGACACATACCAGCTGGACGCCAGGTGCTGCCCACAAGGAACGCCTCAACCAGGTGGTCTACAGGTGAAGGCAGCACCGAGATGGAGAAGGACAAAGCTAATGTCCAATTAGCCGGCTGACCAACCAATCGGACACTGAGAAGAAGGGAAAAGTCAGAGGCATTCTAACCTCAAGATGTTTGAGACATCAAATCTCAAAGTTGAGGAGTTGGAGAAATTTCTCTGTGGTCCCAGGATCTACAACAGGGGTGTCAAACTCCAGTCTTCCAGGGCCGGGGTCCTGCGACTTTTAGATGCGCCTCTGCTTCACCATAACTGAATAGAATAATTAGGTCATTAGCAAGGCTCTGGAGAACTGATCTACACAAGGAGGAGGTAATTAAACCATTTCATTCCTGTGTTTTGTACCTGTGGCACATCGAAAAACTGCAGGACAGCGTCCCTCCAGGACTGGAGTTTGACACCCCTGATCTACAATGTCAGTCCTGAAGAACCAGAGATCCAGTTCAGATAACTCTAGATGTATCTAGAACACATAAGACGGGATCACCAGAAACAACTTGTTGAGTTAATGCCTGGCCCACACAGCAAGGTTTCTATCATTTTTGTCCTGACTTTTTCCTTCCGATGATCTTAAAGATGCTCCAATTACTGTGATAACTCCAGAGATAATCCCAGGAGGACTTCCTGTCATGTGTTCGAAATGATCTTGGACCACACCAATTTAAAATCAAGGACAGTCAACATGTTGGCTTGTCTTAGCCTGATGAACGTGACATGTGGCCAATCAGAAAGCAGCAGAAACACTGTGGGGAATCCATCACACAGAAAACGACCACCATGGCGTACCAGGAAGTTTGGTGGATCTCGGAGATGACTTTTTATTTTGTCTCTGTTCAACACCAACGACCACCATAGGTTGTTCCCAATCAGCCATGTTTGTTTACTCTGAGCTCATGATGGTGTCAAGAGGTGGTGAGAGATTTCCTGTCTGATATCTGGTGAGTGAAATGGGTTCATGTGTTGCTCCTGCAGAGTGGCTCCGTGTCACAAACCTGTAGTTGAAAGCTTTTATCTCCAGGGTCCCTCCGGTCTTTAAGGTCTCGCCGTGTGAACCAGGCATGAGGAGATGCTGTAGCTTCTGAGGAGCTACAGCATCAGGTTTCCCATCATCCATGATGAATCATCAATATACCAGGAACATCAGAAATGATTATGGTGGCTCCATGTATTTAAAGTGTTTGGTTGTAACTTTTTATGCCTGACAGCAGAGTCTGCAGGTTTCATTTATTCACTGGTGAAGGAAGCAGATGTGATGACTGCTTCTCTTCTTCTTCTGTCTTTCAGCTTGTTCACAGTTCTTCGTAGGATCCTCCTGCATCCTGCCACACCTGCTGCCTGCTCTTCAACCTCCTGAACCTCCCTCGGCTCTGACCTCATGGATCTGAAACCTTTGTCAGGACTCTTATGCAGCATTCCCAACACTTAACCCCACCTGGTGTTGACCCCTGCTCCAGTTTCCTGTCCTTAAGAGCGCGGCATCCATCATGGCGGAGGGGCTGCTGCAGGTGGAGATCCCGGATTTCGGCAGCAGCGTGTTGGGCAGCCTGAACGAGCAGCGGCTGATGGGCCACTACTGCGACGTCTCCATCTTGGTCCAGGGACAGGCCTTTAAGGCGCACCGGGCCGTCCTGGCGGCCTCCTCTCTCTACTTCAGAGACCTCTTCAGCTCCGTGGCTGACCCCTCCTCCTCATCCTCCTCGCCGTCCTCCTCCCAGGCCGTCTTTGAGCTTCCGTCGTCTGTGACGCCGACGTGTTTCCAGCAGATCCTGTCGTTCTGCTACACTGGACGCCTCAGTATGGCCGCCAGCGAGCAGCTGGTGCTCATGTACACGGCCGGCTACCTGCAGATCCAGAACATCGTGGAGCGAGGCATGGAGCTGATGATGATGAAGGCCACCTCCTCATCCTCTCCGCTGTGCTGTGACTCTCAGGTGAACACCAGGAACTGCATCACACTAACATTACATTATTTAAT